AAACCATAAATTTAAAACTTTTTTTATTTTTCGACAAAACATTGTAAAATAGTTAAATCATAAATAAAAATTCTTTTAATTTTACTGTCGTTTAAGAACTCTTATATCTGAGGATATATATATACGCATAATTGTTTTATATCGCAACAATTGCTTAAGGCGCTTATGCTTTTGTATATATAATGTGAAAGGAATTATTTAATATGAACATAATAACTTTTCAGGTATTAGAATACATAATATTTTGGATATTATTCTTACATTTAAACACATTTAATTTGTAGGTTTAAACTAAGGTTAAAGTAATTATATATATATATATATATATCTTTAGAGAGTATATATATATATATAATTTTGATTATACATTTTTGTAGCGAAAACATTTTACAAGGAACAATATTTTTCATTAGAAAAAATATTCAGCTTATATGATATAAATTTTTGTATATTATTTTCACACCGGATTCAAGGAATAATATATACTATATTATAGAGATTTTATAATATCAGATTATTTCATTTCTGTAAATGAAATCATAACATTAATAGTCCTGCTTGTTATATATCTTTTAGATTTATTTTTATTTAATATAAAATAATAAGAAATATTTTTTAGAACTGAAGAAAAGTTTTATATGTTAGTTTTAATTATTTTTTGAATATATATTTAAGTTATTATTTATGTAAATAAAGCATGCTTAAGTAAATACAAGACTGAATTAATAACAAGAAATATATATTCTCTCAAAAATATGTGCTTGAACAAAGTTATATTTTTATTATAATTATTTACATTCGTTAACATACATAATGTTATATTTTACTGAATTAATAGTTATGTAATACATATTAAATATATTCACTAAATATTATATGCTACATATACATAAACGTTGTGCTATTTCTAAAACATTATATTTTTAACTGTATTATAGATTATTCATTTATATTACATTTAATGAATGTTATATATTTGTCATAAAAGTGTTTTTTTATATTCATATATTTTTATAATATTTTTTGTCCAATATATTAACTTTTATGTACATTATTTTTACAGAGGTGATAATATAAAATTGTCTTCCTAGTTTTTTATATATAATTTTGATAGATTGCATCTAATATAAATTATACATATTGTAGTAGTAAAATATGCTTTAATATTTATGTTAACAAAGAAATTAATTACATTCTTTATTTATTATTATTCTTATTTTTAATTATTTTAGTATAACATATATATAAATGTTAAAGTATTTGTTTCATTACTTTTTATACTATACATTTAATGAATTTATAGTAAGAATTCATATTATTCTTTGTAAAGAAAAAATGTAAGTATTTGAAAATAATTTTTACGATAATAATATATAACAACTTATATATTTAGTATAATTGCAAATTTTGAAATACTTTTTTAAATGTTATCAATTATAAAAAGAAATAATAGCTATAAAATAGACATACAGAACAATATCGTTTTACTATTTCGTTGAATAAAGTGAATAAAGATGCAGTTTTATATACTACAATATTTTGGATCACTATAAAAGCTACAATTATTTTAAGTTTCATGAATGATGTAAAATCTTTGTTTTTTTACTTTTTATAGAATTCAAAATATGAGGAATAATGACAAAGAAAAAATTATTATATTAAAGATCACTAATAATGATATAATTAACTGTTACTGCATATATTATAATTTATGGAATTTATATAAAAAATATCACATATTATATTATATAAAGGAATGTAAAAATTAATACAATCGCTTATGAATAGCAAAATATAAATGCATTGGAAACCGTAATGACATAACCTTATCAAATTTATTCATTAATTATTTGTACAAAATAATTTTTTTTAATTTTTGGAAAATTTAACTGTTCTATGATTTTTTAAAATATAACATTTCTTTTTTCTTAATTATCTTACATAATATATTTAATAATATACTTCCTTATTGTATATAAGTTTATTGAACGTATGTAGTGCATATAATACCCATTTTTTTATTGAAACCTTATTTTGCTTCATTTTATAAAATTCTAAACAATATTAATAAAAAAATTAATGAAGAATTAAAATCGTTAGAAAAATAAAGACAATTATAAAGAAAATATTCAAATGTATCAAATATAATTTTTTACGGACAATTATCTTATAGAGCACATAGCTCAGATTAGCTTTTTGTAAAAATGTAATTAACTAATATTAAGCAATGATACGTTAAAATTATAATAGATGTGATAAATAGTTAAACATATTAATAAATATAATCTCTAATAAAAAAGGCTTACATAATACTTTTAAATATTATTTAAATATGCTTCACACACAAGGTATATATTTTATTAAACACTTATAGTAACATTAGTTAAAATGAATTTTACAAAAAATTCTTTTACAAAATTGTAGATTAAATGTATATATATACACCATACTCTATTGATTTTTGAAAAAAGTTTATATATTGACTGAAATTGAAATATGTATTATCAAAATTTCTAACCCTATTTCAATTTTTATATATGGTATAAATACATTACTGTTGCAACATCTTTTAATTATCATTTCAATTTCTCCCAAAGATATATAAAAATATTAAAATCATATTGAAGAATAATTAAGTTTGGTTCGTTTAGTTTTATTATATTTGTGTATTTATCCATGATATATAAATTACATCATCCCTTTTTTTTCCTGAACATAATGAAGAATCATATCTACTTCTAAATTGATGAATCTGATGTAAAAAATTTTTCATTAGATTTCTTATATAATATGTATAATTTATAAATTTATTAATTTTGGAAAACTATAAAAATAGAAAAAATAATTAAAAAATAACTTATGTAATTAAAGCAATAATTTTAGTGTTAAATTTCTTTATATACTGAATAAATATATTAATAAATTTTAATATTACATTATATACAATAAAAAATGTGAGTAGAACAATTATCTTCAACAAAATACAAACAGAAAAAACCATTTTAGTCGGCGTTGTACGTTTAACAACATAGTTAGTGCCAATTTCTATTATTGAAGTCGAAGTTTTTTCGTCTATCCATTTTTTAATTAATTTAGGCATATTACCCTTATCTTGTAGACAACTGGTTATATTATTTTTGTATTCATCTTTCTTAAAACACTTAGCAATATACAAATTTGGATCTTGATTCATTGATTCGTTAATTGTTGAACCACAGTAAAAAATAAGTTTAGGAATGTCCATTCCATTTAAAATAAGAGGATCCTTCAACGCATCTTTTATAACATTTATGCAGGTATCCTATAATAAAATAATAGATTTAAGATTAAATTACATAAAAATAAACATTTA